ACAATAAAAAAAACGCACAGGTGATCAAATACCACAGAAAGAAAGCTCTATTTGTGGGAAAAAAAGGAGGTAAATTCCATTTGGGTGCAGCGTTGCATGACTGTGAAATTGTCAGTTAAAGTAACGCAGCGCCTTATCGAACATATGGCCTGGTCAGGAAGGGGTTAACATGTGGGTCAATCAAAGGGTTAACTGTAAGCACACTGCTATGCAGAGCAATACAAAGCAGTGTGCAGGAGCTGACAGGAGAGAGATATGTGTTGTTTACATACAGGTCTCTCCCCCCCCAAAGGTAATACTCAGAGATCACCGAGTGCCAGCAGGAAATCACCACCCAGGACCTGGAGATTGACAGCTAAGGCAGCGAATGGTGGCGCAGGTAGGGTGCGCGCGTGTGCCCCCTACCCAGAACAGAAATGCCTGCAGCGATAAAAGAAGAAAAGAATTAGCGAAGGGCAGGCATGACTAGGCCCAGAGTGGGAAGGAAGACGTATGAGGGGTTAATGATTGTTTAGAGTTGGTAAAGGATAGCTGGGGGATCTGGTTGGTAGAGGAGAGTGTATGTGGGGTCTCCTGCACTTTAGGGGTGGGGTTTTCTGGGGAGGGGCATCAGTTGGGAGCTGGATGTGGGAGAGAGAGCTTCCCTCCCGCCCGCCCTGTTTGGTGAATGTTGTGTTCCTCCTGGGGGGGAAGGGTTATTTTGGTTCCTGGGCGGTGGTTGGTCTTTGGAGGCGGTTCTTATCTTGGAGGTACAAAATGGTGTGGGACCCATCGTTGGTATGGTGTGCCCGGGAACATTCCCAGTTAACCGAGGTTTAACTGGAAGGTGGTGGTGCTGCACTGCGGACGGTATGGTTGTCTCCGAGCTGGTTGGTTGCGGCTGGAGGCCTAGTGGAATATGGTTGTCCGCAGGTGCATTTCGGATCGTTTTGGGGGTGCCTTCAAAGACCAACGACAACTCTTTATGTTTTCTGTTATAAGGAATGGTTGATGTGTTTAAACTTGATTTGTTAATAAAAGGCCGTGCTGGCCATTTTACTCCAAAATTGGTGTTGTGTTTTCTGTAAGTATAGTAAGTAAAGGGGATTGGTATGGAAGGGTAAAGGGTAACGGTGGTGTAGTGGGGTCTGGATGAACCTATCTCGGGTGCACTAGTCATGCAAAATCACATACAGTATATATATTTTGCGTACCCGTGCCGGCGTGGAACTGGTTAATGTGTGTTTTCATAGGTGTTTCTTGAACATTATACATATTTGCATTGGTTTTTTTGAATAGGAAATTCAAGTTGACAACAACAGGAAAGAACAACCTCAGTGGTTAGACTAAACAGAAAAAGAGAGGAAATCAACTGATTCCGATACAGCAACGTCTGTGAGAACTGCATCTGCTGCACCTTCTCAAAGTGAGGAAGAAAGTGAACTCTTTGAGAACCATATCGCACACAAGCTGCACAAGATGTCCCAACAGCAACGGGAAATAATTGCTCCACTAATCTATAAACTTGTAACCAAAGGTCAAACGGAACAAGCAACCTATAACAGCAAAATTGTCGGATACAATTCACCAAATTCTAGCCAAACACTCATGCCTGGCCAGAACTGTAGAAATAATATGCCCCATCTTTCACAGAGTATTCCAAATCATTCTCAGTCTATGCCCCTCAATCACAGAATACTCCGCCCCAATCTCATAACTGGAAAAGGCATGACCAAATTATGAGTTCCTGGTCTCCTGATGTGCAATATACAAACCTCTGAGATATTTGTTGCTCATACTGTATATATGCATGATGTTATTGTGCAATGTACAAACTTTTAAATTTACTATATTTTGTTTGTATTTCTATTAACCGCTTCTGCGCTGCCCTATAGCAGAAATACTGCTACAGGGAGGCACGGGTGCAAAAATTCACATATATATTGCCGGCACCTGGTGATCGCCAAGTATCTCAGATGGGGGAGAGACCTGTGTATAAACAATACAGATCTCTCCCCTCCAGCTCCTGCACACTGCTTTGTATGGCTCTGCATAGCAACTGTAGCTGTTGACTTTTAAAAAACGGACACTCACCTGTCCCTTGAACCACAGTGTGTGTCCCCCCCGTAACCTGTTTCACACGGCCGCCATCTGTCCCCGACGCCAACATCTTCAGTGTGGGCACCCAGCTGTGACAGCTTGCGGTGAGTAATGCTACGCCTTGTGAATGGTCCTGTAGTCTTCTGGGACCTGTCACATGTCCCAGAAGACTACAGGGAGGGAGGGGGGAGGATAACTTCCACTGCCCATTGCCTAGGCAATCACAGCAGAAGTGGGAGCGAATACCTGCCAATCCTTAACGGGGAGAGAGGGACAAATCCTTAAAGGGGGAACATCCCCTTTTGGGTGGAGCTCTGCTTTAAATTTGTTTTGAATGTTTATTCAATTTTGTTTTTGAATTCAAATTTGTTTTCAATTCTAATTTTGGCTTTTAATTTTGTTATTTTGAATTCGTTAAATTTGTTATTTTTGTGATTCGGAATTCTGATACATCCGAATAAAGAAAAAAATTGTCTGAAATTTGATTCAGAACGAAACAAACTGCAGATGTCTAGCTACCTGCCCTGTCCTTAGCTTGTTCTCCGGATTCAGCCTGATCTGCTCCACCATTGCTAACACTGGCCTGTGACCTGACTTCTCTCCTGTTTGCCATTTATGCCTGATCTTCCCAACCTGGCTTGCCTGACGCTGCATCCTGCTCAATCCAGTCCGACTACAGCTCCCCAGTCCAGCACACCCTCAACTTGTACATCTGCCTGCTGCTAGACTGTCTGCTATCAGCCTGCCTTGCTGTGACATCTGCCTACTTCCACCTTGTCTGCTACCAGCCTGCCCTGCTGTGACATCTGCCTGCTTCCACCTTGTCTGCTATCAGTCTGCTCTGCTGTGATATGTGCCTGCTTCTGCTATCAGCCTGCCCTGCTGTGACATCTACTTGCTGCCAACTTGTCTACTACCAGCCTGCCGTGCTGTGACATCTGCCTGCTTCCACCTTGTCTGCTACTAGCCTGCCCTACTGTGACATCTGCTGCTTCTGCTATCAGCCTGCCCTGCTGTGACATCTGCTGCTTCTGCTATCAGCCTGCCCTGCTGTGACATCTGCCTGCTTCCACCTTGTCTACTACCAGCCTGCCCTGCTGTGACATCTGCCTTCTGGCAGCCTGTCTGCTACCAGCCTGCCCTGCTGTGACATCTGTCTGCTTCCACCTTGTCTACTACCAGCCTGCCCTGCTGTGACATCTGTCTGCTCCCACCTTGTCTGCTACCAGCCTACCCTGCCGTGACATCTGTCTGCTCCCACCTTGTCTGCTACCAGCCTACCCTGCCGTGACATCTGCCTGCTCCCAGCCTGTCTCCTACCAGTCTGCCCTGCCATGACATCTGCCTGCTCCCACCTTGTCTGCTACTAGCCTGCCCTGCCGTGACATCTGCCTGCTTCCAGCTTGTCTACTACCAGCCTGCCCTGCTGTGACATCTACTTGCTGCCAACTTGTCTACTATCAGCCTGCCCTGCTGTGACATCTGCCTGCTCCCACCTTGTCTGCTACCAGCCTGCCCTGCTGTGACATCTGCCTGCTCCCACCTTGTCTGCTACCAGCCTGCCCTGCTGTGACATATGCTTGCTCCCAGCCTGTCTGCTACAGCCTGCCCTGTTGTGACATCTGCTTGCTTCCACCTTGTCTGCTAACAGCCTGCCCTGCCGTGACATCTGCCTGCTCCCACCTTGTCTGCTACCAGCCTGCCCTGCTGTGACATCTGCCTGCTCCCACCTTGTCTGCTACCAGCCTGCCCTGCTGTGACATCTGTCTGCTCCCACCTTGTCTGCTACCAGCCTGCCCTGCCATGACATCTGCCTGCTTCCAGCTTGTCTGCTACCAGCCTGCCCTGCTGTGACATCTGCCTGCTCCCACCTTGTCTGCTACCAGCCTGCCCTGCCGTGGCATCTGTCTGCTCCCACCTTGTCTGCTACCAGCCTGCCCTGCCGTGGCATCTGCCTGCTCCCAGCCTGTCTGCTACCAGCTTGCCCTGCCATGACATCTGCCTGCTCCCACCTTGTCTGCTACCAGCCTGCCCTGCCGTGACATCTGCCTGCTGCCTGCTGTTCTGTTCCAGGCATCCTTCCAGCAAGACATTGGCTATTACCCATGCAGACCACTGTACTGATCACAGCCGTCATACCTTGCTGTGCTCTCGTGGTCACTGTTCCACTATCAGTAACCCCTGGGCCGGAGCTGTATGGGAGACCTTCCTCTGCACGTCAGGCTCACTGCCAAGTACGTGGCAACCCTTCACTTACTGTCATGTCAATCCTTCACTTACTGTCATGTCAACCCTTCACTTACTGTCATGTTATCTTGGTAGTGACCTAAAAGTTCATCTTTTCTTCACTGGAAGTGACCTAAAAGTTTTCCAATAGGTACACAGACTGATATCATGCCTGATAAGTTTGAACCCTTCCCCACTTTATCCAGAATATTATGTTTACTACTCTGCTGACATACTGGGTGAGTCTACCACAGAGATGATCATTGTGCACCCTACTTTCACTTTTAATTTCCAGGAAATACTAATTGAAGTAAAGAAATGTAATAGACAGGAATGTATTGTGATAGAAGCACGTCTTGTTATCTATCCCCTTTGGACTGTTGTGAAAATAAATCTCCAGCCTCAAAAATTATTGAAGCACAGGAGGGGCTGAGGACTGAGCGGGACACCGAGGGACCCTGCAGGGTGTGAGACACAACCAGACACTTTTAATGGCGTGGGATTCCAAGCAGACATATTTTGCAAAGCCACAGACTGTCTGAAAGGGAAGCAGATCCCTCTGAATATTGTCATAAACAATTAACTGTTAATGAAAAACAAATTCGACATACAAGACTCTGTGATTTAATAAAGCACAGAAGAGATCCTGGTAGACGGTGAGGCTCAAGAAGCTCCAGAAGCTGTAACACACAGGATTAACTCTTCCAGAACTACTGCATGTGAAACAGGTAACCTCTAGTGATTAGTCATGTGTGTATGTCGATATCTTTGCTAAACCATCAATGCCCCATGTGAATTTGCTCTGTTATGTCAGAAATAGCCACAGTGCTGCTTTAAAATGTGTCTACAGACAGAACTCTCCTATTTTGTATAAGATGTGGGAGGATTTGTCCCCTGTAACTGAAACACAAAGTCTGAATTGTCACAACAGATAGATGAGAAATCTTCCAATGGGGACACCCGTTCCATTGACAACTGGCTAAGAAGAGACTCCCACTCTTCTTAGCCAGTTGTCACTTGTTGTGTCTACAGGATAGGAAAGGAAGGGAATTCTTTCTAATGGAACATAGATGGCAACAATTAATTGACAGATATTCTAACCCTTTCCCACTCCCAAAAGCTACAAAAATGGCTTTAGAAATACATTAAAATAGAAGAATAGGATTTGTTTTTTTTTCAAAAGTATACGTACCTAGGTCTGTCCCCTGTCGGCTCTAAGGGTGAGAAATGACCGAACGCATGACACATGAGCTGATCGCTCACTTCTCTCCACTGTTCTTAGCAGAGAGTGGCAACTGTCAATCACCGCTCTCTGCTCTGAACCCCCTTCCCATGCTCCCTGGAGTGCTGGGCTGTGAACGGGTGGGAGAATCTGGCTCTGGCTCTCAGCGGCTCGCAGAGTGGCTGAGCCAGGTGCTGGTTCAAGAATCTGGGTGGATCCCAACTTTAACCACTTGCCTACCGGGCACTTATACCCCCTTCTTTACCAGGCCAATTTTCAGCTTTCAGCGCTGTCGCACTTTGACAATTGCGCGGTCATGCAAGATTGTACCCATATGAAATTTTTATCATTTTTTTCTCGCAAATAGAGCCTTCTTTTGGTGGTATTTGATCGTCACTGGGCACTTTACTTTTTGCGCTATAAACAAAAAAAGCAAAAAAGTTGAAGAAAAAGTTTCTTTGTTTTCTATTATAAAATTTTGCAACCAGGTAATTTTTCTCCTTCACTGATGTGTGTTGATGAGGCAGCACTGATAGGCGGCACTGATGGGCACTGATAGGCAGCACAATGAGGTGTCACGGATAGACAGCACTGATAGGTGGCACTGACTGGTGCAACCGCTGGGCACTGACTGGCTGCACTGGGCACTGGTGGGCTCAGGGTAGGTGGCACTTCTGGGCTCAGGTGGGGGCACAGGTGGGCGGAACTGGTGGGTGGCACTGCTGGGCACCGATCATCAGCACCCTGATGATCAGTGCCGATCCCTGCTTTGACAACTGCCAGTTCTCGGCAGTACTTTCCTCACGCTGTCAGAGCATGAGGAAAGTGCAGCCGAGAACCGGCAATTGCATTTCCTGGTGATCAGCGTGTCATTGGACACGAAAGCTGATTACGTGGTAAAAGGCAGCTGTGATTGGCCTTTTACCACGTCACGTGATCAGCTGTGCCCCCGGGAGCGCGCAGGAGAGCGCGTTCTGCGAGGACGTCATATGACGCCCTCCCAAAACTGGCCGGCTGCAGTGTAGCTGTCATTCGGCTATCTGCGGTTGGCAAGTAGTTAAAGTCGGAATCTTTCCCCAGCCTGGACCGGCTCTGTGATGTCAGCCAACAGCGGCTTTAGCCCACTGTCTTCTGAAAACAGGTCACAGGAGTGCAGAATGAACTACACTCCTGTGATCCATAGGAGAAGTACAGCCATTAGAAACTTTTCTCCTTTAACTGGAAAGTATAAAAAAATGTAAAAATTATAATGTATTTTTGATCAGTTGTATTTTCCATACGTATTTCTGAAAGTGTACTACTGTCGTTTAATTTGGTAATTAGTTGTGCGGCATCTTTATTTTACAAAAATTTACAAAAAAAAGTTTGCAAAACATGATGGGTATGACAAAAAAATCCTTGCATAGCACAGCAAATGATACAGGACCCATGGGATGTGTACTTCTTTAGTCTGCAGGGTTGGCAGCTGAGTTGCAGTTTTGTGCCCTTTCTGCCCACCCATGGGGATTGTAACATTACAGGCTGATAGGACTGTACACATGCCACAGCCATGATGCAGTTCATCAAGACCATGACATGACTTGGGCTGCAGAGCTTGACAGGTAGCGCTACCTGTCAAACCCGCCCATTGAGATCAATGAGGTCACACCTCAACTACCAGCCAAACGCTTGGCTCTACAATAACATTAAATGTTTCAAAACTATCCCTGGTCAAACTATAAAAAGGGTTTGATTTATTCTAAAAAAAAAAAAATTGTTCAGTTGCACTTTTTTGCCTTTAATTTATTAAGAAAATAAAACTATTTTCAAAAGAGGATATAAAAAAAAAAAATAAAAACTTTGTCACAAAAACATGAATTGGGCCAAAGATGTCAAGCCGATAAACCGGACGTTTACGAGCCGCCATCTTGGAAATTCCTGAACACATTGGAATTAGATTATAACAAGGTTTTTTTACTGTGATGTCCCAGCAGGGCACTTTTAAATGTGATTGCATTTTGTTTTTTTAAAATAAATCACACAATATTTAAGTACTACACTATGGCAAGCGTTTCTGTTTACATATGTTGAGGATATGTGGGATAAGGAGGAGACGAGACCATCTGCAGCAGAGGAGGAGAGTGGAGCCAACCATAGTCCACCTACACGGGTTAAAGGGAAAGGCGGTATTTGACCAATGCAATTTGGGTCATATAACGAGGTGAGAATATATACGTATGTCTCTGGTGGAGGAGCACCTCTAAGAATATATGTGGATATAAGGAATAAAGAGCACCTGTTTGGAAAAAAATCATATATGCACGGATAAAATCGCATATGAAGAACTAATCATTGTATTCATGAGCGATTAATTGTCACGTTTTGGATGTTTTGATGTACGTAGGAGATTGTATATAGGGATAGAGGGTTATACAGTGAGGAACAGAAGTATTTGAACACCCTGCGATTTTGCAAGTTCTCCCACTTAGAAATCACGGAGGGGTCTGAAATTCACATTGTAGGTGCATTCCCACTCTGAGAGACAGAATTTAAAATTCAGGAAATGACATTGTATGATTTGTAAAGAATGTATTTGTCTTGTACTGCTGAACAGAAGTATTTAAACACCTAAGAAACAGCAAGAATTCTGTCTCTCAAAGACCTGTTACTGAGCCTTTAAAAAGTCCACCTCTACTCCACTCATTAATCTAACTTAGTAGCACCTGTCTGAGCTCTTTAACCTCCCTGGCGGTATGATCATGTCAGGAATTTTGTGCTGAAAGCTGCCGGGGTACCATTTTTTTGCATGGAAATATGTAGTTTTTAATTGTAGGCTGTAATTTTTAGGAATAACTCACTGAAATCTATCCGAAAAAGAGTCTATTAAACATCCCGGATATGATAAAACTTGAAACACGAAATCATAAATTATAATTTAATAAATAATCATAAAAAATAATAATATAATAATAATAAATTTAATTCAATAATATAATCAAACCAAAAACACTGAAATTTGAAATACAGAGGCAAATTCGCACATCGCTGAGCAAAGTCACAAAATCTTTTTCAGTGTCTGATGAGGAATTTCCCCACAAATCATTATCACTCAATTCTGCAAGTGGTTCTGATTTACTATCGCTGTTCTAAAACCGCTTTTGACGTAAAGGGACGCTTTTTGGCCGCCATGGACTTTTCTAAGTTTCCAGGCAGAAAGAACAGTCAAAATGCAGGCAGGGCGCAGGACAAAGCAGTGGGGACAAAATGTATGTGAAATGCAGTGAAACAGCAATGACAGCAAAAATGTCATTTTTTAAAAATTTCAAATTTCCCGCCGGTTCCGCCGCCCGTACGTTCCGACATCACAGGGACCGGAACACGGAAGCCAGATGCCGGCATCCGCCGGAGGAGATGGACGGGGACACTGCAGGGGACCCATCGTGGGAGCGAAGGACAAGGTAAGTGCTGCAGGGACCCCCAGAGAACGCTGCATGGTGAGCCCGAGTGTAGCTCGGGGTTACCGTTCTTGGTATAGAAATTCTACCCCGAGCTACACTCGGGAACACCGCCAAGGAGGTTAAAGACACCCATCCACCCCCACAGTCAGTCAGATGCCAACTACTACCATGGGCAAATCCCTGTTGCAGTGCAAACCTGGCCAAGGACTACAGGAAATGTCTGACCTTTGTAATTGCAAACAAAGTCTTCTGTACCAAATATTAACACTGATTTTCTCAGGTGTTCAAATACGTCTGTTCAGCAGTGCAAGACAAATTCTTTACAAATCATACAATGGGATTTCCTGAATTTTTTTTTTTTAATTCTGTCTCTCAGAGTGGGAATGCACCTACAATGTGAATGTCAGACCCTTCCATGATTTCTAAGTGGGGAGAACTTGCAAAATCGCAGGGGGTTCAAATACTTCTGTTCCTCACTGTATGCGCAGCACTAATATATGATATGCTTAAAATTTTGAGTCTTGAACTTCTAGCCAGGCACAAACCTTACTCTCCATCAGTTGTCCCACCCAACCTTGCCCAAGTCCGCCTCCAACCACACCTCCAGCCCATCCCCCCCAACCCGGCCCCCAGCCCTGCCCCCAACCACGCCCCCTTAAAGCTAATGAAATCACATTTTTCTTTAGAATAAAGAGTCCAAAATATAAAAACTGTACACAGTAATGTATATCCCAGCTCCCCTTTACTCCATTATAGTGATATGACATGTATACAGTACTTCTTGAGTCCCCCCGTGGTGGTGGAGAGGGTGTCTTCTCTCAGCAGAGGAGAGCGGATGGACCTCTCCTGCACCTGTCCCCACAGCGGCGGTGCCGAAGAAGCCGGAAACCGGAAGTTGGAAACCGGAACTCGGCTTCACAATGAGGCTTGGAGCGCAGCTGCTCCATCATCTGTGCTCCCCGCTCGCCGCTATAGAATTTCCTCCTCGCATTTGGCGACCGGGTGAGGGCTTTTTCAAGCCCTGGATATACCTATTTGTGTGTGAAATGCATGTAAGTGTCAGCAGCACTAGTATACACAGGAGGTTGGTGTTTTTGTTGCGCTGAAGTTTTACTTGTACACTTTTATATTTAGTACTTTATTATCATAGATTATTGCTAAGTAAAGCTATTACTAAACCTATAGGTGGGTAGCTGAAATGTACAAAATTGCTCCAATACCACTCTGGGTTTTTCTTTTTTTTCCCTCTTTTTAATGCTTTCTTATTCATTTAAACATTTTTTCTAAAATCACATCCTGATAAAAGATACAGCAAATAACTAAAAATGATTATGAACAGAACATGCAGCGCTATTGGAAATCAATCATACATGTAAAAATAGTACATAATAAAAGAATGTTAAGGCGACCACCGTTAAGTGATGGCCCATCTAAACGTTCACAGATTGGAATGGCATAAATATCTCCAACGAGAGTGTTCTTGTGGTACACAGTGCACAATTTCAAATTGAAGTGTGAAAAAATTGGTGACTTCCGTGACATATTCCTCCCACCGAAATGAGTGTAGATTGCACTAACCAGAAAGCGCAATGATAATGCGCATTTGAGTATTAACCAACTCCTGGTCATCCGTCTACTAAAGCTGGATCCCTGGAAGGGTCATCAGGCTAGCGTCAGCCGGGCAAAGTATCCTAACCACAGGATCTCCAGATGTCAGGGGGTGTACACTCGTCTCACCAGCAGGGGGAGATTAACCGTTCCCAGTGTGGCCACCAGATGGTCCCCAAACAAGCCTTAAAAGAAGGGGGGGCTCGCAAAAAACGAGCCAGAGCAACAAGAAGATCCAATAGTGTAGTACTTTAATTAGCCACAGGAGTAAAAGAACAAGACAGTAAGTGTGCTACTCACATAGTATGGTAAGCAGCTGTATACAGGGAATTCCAAGAATCATCCAAAAAGGCAATGGCCGCCGGCCGTGCACAGGGGCCGTGCGGTGTGACGTCACAGAGTATGAGGCAAGTATGAGGCAACTCCCTATATTTTTGGAGGCTTTTGGTGTTTGCCTTTCATGCATGTCGCTTTCTGTACTTTGTCCAGCGCTCGTTGCATTTCTGTTTTGAACTAAAAATGATTGACAAAATTGAATGATCAGGACAACCCTATTTTTTAGAACAATGTTATTGGCTGGTTTTCAATTGTCAGCATAAGGTTTTTCTTTTTTGCTTCTCTAGTTTACCATGGCTCTCCTACCAAGGATGGACAACCCCATCTGTGTGATTGAGAATAGTGCCGATAATCGGTTGAGTGTAAATGAGAACGCCCAAACAATCCTTGCACAGATCACACAACCACTGGTTGTGGTTTCCATTGTGGGGCCCTACAGGACTGGAAAATCATATCTACTTAACAAATTATCAGGGCGGCAAGGAGGTGAGATAAACAAAACTACTTTAGAAATGTTCTGTTTCTGTGGGATGTGTTTTAGGTTTAAAACCTAACTACAGGTTTTACCAACATTTAACATGATCTGGTTCAAACAAACTATTAAACTAAAACCCGGAGCTAGGCTTTAAAATTAGGTACCCAAATGACAGAGAAGAGGGCATAAATGTTCTAACCATACGTTCACATGTTCATGTGTTCTGTAAGGGCTGACCACTTGTTCGGAGCTGATGACTGCTTCTACAGCGGTCCTAAGTAGCCACTGTCAACATGAAACTTTATGTGCTTGCAGAGTTTTTAGGTGCCACCATATTCTAGTGCCCTGGTACTTGTCATTATTTGCTCTCATTATGGAACCATAAAAGAGAGACCTTACCCCAATAAGAACTTAATAAAGAATGCCCACACTGGCTTAGTTCCTAAGAGACCTGTGACCAAGGGTCAAGCCAGCTTTGTCAGAAGCAGTGCCAAGGGTTTAAGTAGAAGCCTACTGGGGTCAAGACTAGAGATGTACAATTCCCAGAAATGTTGAAGCCATAAGAAAAGCTTTTTTTTAATTTTTTTCCCAGAAAAAATGGACATTTTCTAAAAAACTGAAGAAGCATTCAGTGTGGAGTAGTTTTACAAATTGAAAGTCATTTTGTTACACTAGGAAGGTGAAATGTAGTGTATATAAAAGTATTTTGGTTGAATTAAAAGTACAGCTTATTCAGTAAATAAAATAAACTTGCTTTTTAAAATTGCATGTTTTATTACCAATGGAATAACAAGGACTGTATATGCTCAGAACATTTCATCTATACATGAGAACAGGTCACCACCCTCCTTTCACTCACAATAATGTAAAAACTTCCTGCTAATATGCACTTTCAATTTTTGACAATGCTGAACCAGAAATATATATTGCTCTTCCAATTGCTTGATGAATGTTCTCCTGATTTTACTGGTGTAATCTTATCTAGAAATGAAGGGATTGTGTATTTTTGGAAGGCCGTGGTTTGTGACACTTCCGTACTTGAAGATGCTGCTAGTGAAGAAACATTTTGTGATCATCCAGAAGGAGCAGAAAGAGTGTTTCTGGAATGAGAACTCTGGAGGGAAAAGCTACTCACACTTTTATTCTGGTCCTCATCATTTCATTCCATAAAGTGTTTTTTAATGTCTTTAGGGCACCCCTGGCATGCAAACAAATGTTATATCATCCTTGTAGCATTTGGAAAAGAATATTTTTCTTCTCACAATGGGGGAGATTTACTACAACTGGAGTGTGCAAAATCTAGTGCAACTGTGCATAGAAACCTATTAGCATCCAGCTTTTATTGTCAAAGCTTAAAGGATAAGTTCACCTTTTTTACAGGTAAAAAAAATGTGCATTTACCATTTTTGGCTGCAGGAGCCAATCAGCAGATCGCTGGTGCCATGTAGGTCTCCTGCAGACCTGTCAGTATATCTGCTTGTCCGTACCAGATGTACTTGCAAGCAGATATACTGACAGAAAGAATCAATGAAATACCATGGCGCTCCACAGCACCGTAGTAGTTCATTGATAATTACAAGCCAACATCCAGACTGTCAGGACTTGTATTTCATTCATTTACGGAACATTGTGCATAAAAGACACTGCCCTGTATGCAGAGCCCCACTCAACCTCGCTGTTCTTAAATACTGACAGCTAGTATGGGGAACCTCTCCCTGCACTTCTGTCACAGGGAAGGGGGGGTTGCAGGTGGTGGCTGCAGCATTGAGAACATGTTACATGTTCCACCATAAAAATAAGTGGAACATGTAACATGTTCTCAAAGGTGAACCTATCCTTTAACTGAACAAGCTGGAGTTTGAAGCTGATTAACTACCATGCACAGCTGCACCAGATTCTGAGTGCTCCAGTTTTAGTAAATCTCCCTTAATATTCGCAAATTGCTGTGCCTACTAGCAGCATAAATGCACGGTTCTCTTGTTTGAGAACTGCATTGAAAAGTACAGTGTTACTTGAATTGTATTCCAGGATTTTGTCTTCAGCTGAGTGAACTTGCACCAATTTAAAACTTTACATAAAGTCTGAGAAATCTTTCATTAAGGTCTTCATGTTAAATAGTTTGAATACAATGTCATAGATATTTTACTTATCATTGTAAAAGAACATATTCCACACTTTTTTTCCCAATTTTTCTGTAAAAAAAATAAAAGTCTTGGAAAAAAACAGAAAACATTTTTGTCCATGCCTTCCCATCTCTAGTCAAGACTAAAGCTGGCCATTCATTGATCGGAACCCTTCAGCAGGAACTTGCTAAATATCAATCCGTATATGGGCACTGAGGTTGCATGGTAGTCAATCTACCAATCATCTTCTGTTGGACTTTTGCCACTTGATCAGTGCTACAGACTATAGCCAGCAGTGCTGATCAGTGTATTCAGATGGCAGAGACGTTTCCCTGCTGTCAAAATACAATGGCTTAACAGAAGGATTCCCATATCCACACTGAATGTGTGGATGGGAGAATCAATTCATTTATTTTTTCTTTTCAACCCACTGGTTGAACAAAAAAACTGACTCATGTATGGGGCGTCTTAGGACTGTACCAGGAGATCCGTAATATAAGCTACTGTACAGGCATAAGAAAAGGGAGAAGAGACACAGGTTGAGGCAAAAGTCAGGCATTCTAGCCAAAACCAAGTGATCATATATCTGCACTTGTTCTGTGTGCCTGAATACATACATAGAAAATATTTGCCATGGTATTTGAATAAAGCCATGTTACTGTGGGACGACTGAAGAGTTTTCAGAAGGTAAAAGAGAGGTAGGACAAAAATGCCAAACAGTCCATGAGAAACTGATTATCTAATGGATGGAGAACCTTTAGTCAAGAGCTCAATAGAGGGTGTAAAGGATCGCCCGGCGACACCACTAGCACTCCACTAATCAGGCGTCCCCAGCGCACGGAGTCTAAGTCCCAGAGTACTTGTTCACCAGGGCCCCTGATGGTGGGGATGGACTTGGAGTACCCCGGGACCAGGTCGTGCCTACTGAGGATACCCGTCAGTGGTAGGGGTGTTCGCCAGGGGCTCCCACGGGAGATATGAGGAGGTCTCGAGACTCCGTTGAGAGGGATGGATGGATGGCTGAGCAAGTGCAGAGTCAGGCAAGCCGGGTCGGTAACGGGGAGGACAGTACGGTACAAGGCAGCGGGCAGAGAATAGTCGGGTCACACGCCAGGTCAGCAACAGTAGGTCAGATCCAATAGAAAGACATACGGAAGAGAGGTCAGGCAAAGCAAGGGTCTGGGCAGGAGAATTCAGCAGTGGTCAGGTACAATCCGGGTCAGCAACTTACAGGTACAGGTTCAGGTTCAGGATACAGGATGCAGGGCAAGGATAAGACCAGAAGGCACCGAATGACAGCTCAGGGCCGTTTAAATATCGCGCCCTGCGCTGCCATTGGTGCCCAGCGGGCGGCCGCGGCTTCTACTGCGCATGCGCGGACTCGCGCACCGCGGCCGGCCCGGACCTAGAGCTCGCGTCCCTGCACAGGGCGGCATACTGCGCCTGCGCCGGGACCATCGCGGCAGGGATCGAGGGGATCCCTGACAGAGAGCCTCACCACAGATGGGTGAATAAGGTATAAATGATCACCACACAAAAAAACTGAAAATATGGTAACAAGCAAATTCCTTGCATCGGAATACCATTGATGTATGGACCTGAATGTGACTTCCTGTAATCCTCTGCATGGTAGAAGACTACTAGGAGAGGCGGGAGCAGGGCCAATGAGATGTGCTGGAATGCACATGCGAGAGCTTGACTTAAGGAGAAACACGAACATGTCTTTTGCTATAGCTTCTTCCTTGTCTAACCACAGCCTGGGAACAGAGCGGTTACCTTGTATTGCATAACAGCGTTAGAAGAGTCAGATCACCAACCTGGCCAACTTGGCTGTACAGTCTGGTAGAATTGTGTCAATCTCAGAACTGGATGGACAGAAAAACAAATATTTGTTGGGAAAAAAGAGATTATGTATCTATTTTATCTGCGTAGTCACCTTGAAGTTTAGCTCTAAAATGACGTAAGGGCTGCCGACCTCTCACTAAAATAATGATTGGTGAGCTAGTTACACATCATCACTTTTATCTCTTAGCATTGGAATCCAACCATGATTTTTTTTCTCTCAGCTGGAAAAACAGATCTGCTCAGTGAAAGTCTTTTTTTTAAGAAATAATTAAAAAAAAAATTGTGTTTTTAAGGTATTTCAGCATGTCAGGTAATATCTGTCAATAGCAACAATCACAAATTGACTGAACCCCTTTAAATATTGCATATGCCAGGTCTAGCATGGCAACCTTTGGGGTGTCTCCACTAGGAAAAGTCAAATGTTTGATGATTATGTTGAGCTATTAGATTATAAACAATGCGCTTAATTGTTAGGAATAATCTCCATACAAAATTGTGGGCCCAGTGCCAATTTTCACTAATGGCTTTCATTCTTACTGTTGGATTTTAATAAGATGAATCTGTAGTTAAATGTTAGTGGTGGAGTTCCATGAAAGGTTGTGCTACTAGGAAGGATATCAAGTTTATATCAAGTAGAGTGTATTATACTGTTCTACTTTCACTGCAGGCACATGAGTAAAACATTTTGAGCATTGTGTGTACTTATTCCAGGTGCTTTCTCCGTGGATCCCACAATTAAGGCACATACCAAAGGCATTTGGATGTGGTGCATGCCACACCCAATAAAAAGTGATCATACCTTAGTACTTATGGACACAGAAGGACTGGGAGACCCAGAGAAGGTAAACCTCAGAAGATCATTTAAAACAGATCATTACGTAAACTGCTCAATATTGACCCTTGAATATCTATCTTTTAGGGAGACAAGGACAATGATTGTATGATCCTGTCATTGGCTATGCTCATGAGTAGTGCTGTCATCTACAACAGTAGTGGGGTCATCAATCAGGATGCCCTGGAGAAATTAAAGTATCCTTTTTGTCAGAAGCTGTCTTTTCCCTTTTCCTTTTCCTTTTCCTTTCCTTTCCTCTTCTCTCCTTTCCTCTCCTATCCTCTCCTATCCTCCTTTCCTACGAACAGTACGGGTGTTTGGATGGCTGTTCGCCCACTGCGCCCCACAATGCACTGTGCCCTGACAGTGCATTGTGATTGGTCAAAGCAAAGCACCTGACCACAGGTGAACCCCGCCCCCTTGTGATGTCATGACGGTATTTAAGTACTGTCATCAGGGCACAGCTCTCAGACGGCTTGGAGCTAGCCGACATTTTTTTTATACTTTTATTTTTAATAAATGACTTGTCAAAGACTGTCTCCTGTCTTTTTTACACTACACTTTTTTTTGTGTGAATGGGTACCATATACCGCATGCTTATTCACATGAGGGGGGCTGGAATCTTCCAGATTCCAATAAGCCCCCCGCCTGCAGACCCCCACAACCATCGGTCACAGTTATGGGAAAGAGGCCCTTGTCCCCATCAACATGGGGACAAGGTGCTTTGGAGGCCCCCTGCCTCAATGAACCCCCCGATTTTGAGGGCATGTTACCTGGTATGGATCAGGAGGGGGGGGGTGCTCACTCCCCCCCCCCTTTACTGACCTGCTGGGCTGCATGCTTGGATAAGGGTCTGGTATGGATTTTGGGGGAACCCCCACGCCATTCTTTCTTAATTCTGGCCTGGGGGTTCCCGTCTAAATCCATATCAGACCCGAGGGGCGTGGTATGGATGGGAGTGGGACCCCACGTTGTTTTTTTTTTTTTTAAATGTTTTAATTGTCAGGCAATGCTCACAATTCTTTTCATATTCAGCTATCAGAGGAGAACCCCACTGACAGATGAAACATGAATGAATGTCTCACTACTAAAATACTGCAAGACTTCATAATATAACTCATGCGGTATTTTAGTAACTGAGTGCTATCTTACCACATACTCAGATGCAGTAAGATGCCACTCAGTAAATTGTTTGTGTTCGAAGTTCGTGGTCGAACATTCTGTAGGTTCAAATGTTTGACCGCGAACCAAACAGGGGTGTGTTAGGCCCATCACTGTCTCTGCATATTTCTCACAAATGAGAAAATATCTTTGGTTTATTGTTGGCTAAATCATGCAGTTTGTCTCATTCTGGGGACTATTTCAGTGCATTGCCTAAATGGTCTAACAGTGGTCTAACAGTGATTCCTTGATTATAAATAACCTGGTCTCTCTATAAAATTGCTCTATATCAAAAGGGCATCAAATTATACAGAATATCTGTACAGTTTTTTTGTGTGGTCTCAAAATAAAATTTTTTTTTTTTTCAATTTCTAGATGCAGTTTGCCTGCTCTCTCCCTCTGAAATTGTATCTTATTAGAACGGATAATACACTGTTTATAAATTACACTGTAAAAGGTATTTGTAGATTAAATATACCTGTTCTTTCACTCTCAAGTTACATATCATTAAATATTATAACTTGCTGTGCATTCTGTTAAGAAAGTACATCCTAGTAAAAAAGGGATAAATACTGTCCAACAAATCTCTCCAGTTTTCCTGCCTCCAGTCTCAGAAAAAAATACTGCAATTTTTAATTTCTATATGAAATCTGCCTGCTATTTCCATCTGAAATTGCATCCCATTAGAAAGGACAACAATGTGCAGCAAACCTGATTATGTTTTCTGACTCTAAAAATAGACACTATGATTTTTAATTTCCAGATGAAATCTGCCTGCTCTCTTCCTCTGAAATTCCATTCTATTCAAAAGGATAATGTAAAGTACAAACATAAAATCTGTCTCAGAAAAAAATACACTATAATTTCCAGATGAAATCTTTTTGACATCTCTTTCTGAAATTGTATCCGAGCAAAATAGGGAGTGCAGACTATAATGCGAACCTGTGTGCAGGGAGAAAAGATGGACGCCACTCATACCTGTCCCGAGCAGTCCTGTGAAGACACTATGATGCAAATAGCCTCAGCTGTCACTCTGGCCATGCGCTCTGACGCATTTCACCACACCCATAGGGAGTTTGGTCACAGAGCCTATAATGCAAACCTGTACAATTTATCTGTTCTCATTCTCAGAAAAAAAGACTAATTTTTTATTTCAAGATGAAATTAACTTGCTCTCTCTTTTTCTGAAATAGCGGCCTAATTAAAAGGATTAAAAGCTGTGCTGCAAATATGTCCATATTTTCAGCCTCAGAAAAAAAAATAAGACACTGTAACTCCCAGATGCAATTCGCCTACTCTTTCCCTCTGAGAAGTTTTAGAGTTGTCACCAGAACAAGAAGTGCGGGAACATTTTTCAACAGGGATACCTGTTCTAGTAATGACTAGTGATGAAATCCCCCATGATAGGGGAATTAACCCTTTCTGACTCTCTCTAAAAATAAAGAGAACATTTTGGCTATACACACACTTTTAGACATAAAGATCACTATAGGTTTTATTTCCTTTATAATATATGTTCATAGCTCTACATTAAATGTATATATCGAGATTGTACACAAAGCCTCATTTCAGAAGATGAAAGCCCAGAGTAAGGAAGATACAGGCAACATGGCACCTTTCTTTGTTTGGGTCATACGGGATTTTACTCTTAAGTCAGTCTTGGATGGACGCTCAGTCACCGCTGATGAATATTTGGAAAACTGTCTAAAGGATGTCCGTATGTACTAATCTAACCTGTGGTGCAATTCTTTGGCATCTTTGTTCAATAATGCAATTTATTTTACCTATTATTTGTATCCCTAATAATCATTTTGGGTCTTTCAGTTGTCATAGTCATGACAGATAGTCTAGTCCAGGGGCGGACTGATCATTTGGAAACTCGGCATTGGGGTCAGTAGGGGGCCCCATGAGATGCCCCTGGTACCTTTTTCATAGGCTTTTTTGAGTTTGGGCAAGGACAAAGGGGCCCCTTGATCCCCTATTGCCCGGGCCCCATGAGATGTCAGTCTGCCCCTGGTCTAGTCACTGGAATTAGGTTAGTTCTCCTCATTTACAGGGATTATCCACCCAATGCTGATGATATGTTTCCCATTCCCAATACTGATGTTATTGTTAATCTCTAACACATATGTACAGCAGCAAAGAGGGTGGGTTTTAACACACACATAGCGTATGTACTCTCCAGCGCCTCAGGATATGCACAGCCAAAAGGGAAGCCAAGGGTACCAGGACAGCGACAACCAAAAGGAAATGTTCCAGGGGTGCAGCCCTCCTCAGACGGGGAAATCAGCCACTGGATAGAGAGAAAACAGGTGGCGCACACACCTAGTGCATTATCCAAGGTTTATTGTAGGAATTAAATCATAAAAACATACTCACAGACGAAGCATGTATCTAAAAAGCATAGAAAAATGACAATGGCCACAACGGCGGGCAAGGTGTTCTCACTGTCAGTGCGGTCAAATGGCTGACGCGTTTCGGGGACGAATCCCTTTCCTCAGAGCTGATGACCAACCTCTGATGCTGATGTATGATGAATGGAAAGTGAAGTGGCATCAACAGCGAGGCTCTTACTTCACTTTCCATTCATCATACATCAGCATCAGAGGTTGGTCATCAGCTCTGAGGAAAGGGATTCGTCCCCGAAACGCGTCAGCCATTTGACCGCACTGACAGTGAGAACACCTTGCCCGCCGTTGTGGCCATTGTCATTTTTCTATGCTTTTTAGATACATGCTTCGTCTGTGAGTATGTTTTTATGATTTAATTCCTACAATAAACCTTGGATAATGCACTAGGTGTGTGCGCCACCTGTTTTCTCTTTAACACACACATGTCACACATATGCATCCATGGATGGTTTACGTTTCTGTATTTAGATTGTTCTATTAATGATAGGAAGTTGGCACAACCGGATCCTGATCATGTGACCATCGTGACAGCCAGTCACCCAGACCCAATTTAAGGGAACCCAGGGTTGGTTGGCTAGAGGTTAGTGTTTTGTTTTACAGAGTTTATGGATTATATAGCAATACACATTGTTACTTTATTGATTGAGCCTGACTTTGTAATTGTGTTTTGTCCTATTCTTCCAGGTTTAGTGTATTAAAGTTTATTATTTTAAGATGCACTTTTTTTTTCTAATTTTAGCTGTGAAAACCCCCAGGGGACAAAGGCAAAACGAGATGCGTAGGACTATCACAGCTCATTTTCCAAAGCGAAAGTGTTTTTACTTTGGATTTCCATCCACGGACAAAGAGGTTTTGAGAAGCATTTCCCGAGTTCCCGAATCAGAGCTAGTGCCTGAGTTTGTCAGGAAGGCTCAGGATTTCTGCCAGTTCATTCTTCAGGAAGCATCAGGAAAAAGATTAAGAGAGGGCAGAATTATGACTGGATCTGGTGAGCTGATAAACAACCAAATTTCAGCTAAATTGTGTGATGTCAAGAGGGATTTACAGGGCCATTTTAAATGTAGAGCCACCCTTGAAGGAGTTGCTGGATTTTTGGGTTCTTCTGTTCCTGATGCTGATGAACTAGGTGTTACCACACTCTCTGACACACCTTGAAGTTGAAAGGGGTTATTTTATTTTGGGCAAACACTGCCCAGCTGGGTAAATAGTATAAACCCTAAAACACCACAGTAATATAGAACAGCATATAGAGCAATAAAGAACTACCAATGGTATAATAACAAATTATGCACAATACCTATGCACTAAGGAAGCAGATTTCTGGTATCTGTATGTCAGGGCTGAAGAAGGACTCCAATGGTGAGAACACAGGGGCGGCTATCAGTGATTTCTCTCTATACCAATTACTAATGAAAGTCAGGGTCTGATTCCTGGGGCATGCACCTGTCAAGGGCACTTGTAATCCCACAGAGTAAGGAGAAAACAGCAACAAGAAATATGGCACAAACCATCTCATCAGTGCAGCAGGAGCCTGGGTGGTCCCACAGAGGCCAACAAAAAGGACCACCTTCAGCTCCTTCCAGCTGTTGCAGGCAGGTTTTTTTTTCAGAAACACTGTAGACAAAGCTCCTACCATAGAATCAGCAAACCTGTAAACAGAGTCTGCACAGTCCAATTTCATATGGACACAATGGGGTTTATTTACTAAAGCTGGAGAGTCCAAAATCAGACTCCCTTCTGCATAGAAACCAATCAGCTTCCAGGTTTCATTGCCAAAGCTTCATTGAACAAGCTGAGGTTAGAAGCTGATTGGTTTCTATGCAGAAGGGAGTCTGATTTTGGACTCTCCAGCTTTAGTAAATAAACCCCAATGAGTCTTGTATGCATCACAGTTCAGATTTCAGTAACACCAACATAGTGTCCCCCGCAGGTAGGGATGCAATAAAACAGTCTCCAAGTACTGTGGCAGCAACCATGACTCCCAGCAGCTAAGTCCACAAATGCAGGAATGCAAGGTAACAGTCTCAGAGCACTCCTGTTCACAGGCTCATAGCAGGGAGCACTCCCGGGAAACAATGCCACACTAATCAGTCGGCACCAGGGGCGGACTGACAACTCATGGGGCCCCCGGGCAATAGGGGACCATGGGGCCCCTGTGTCCTTGCTCACACTCAAACCACACCAAAAAAAAGCCTATGAAAAAGGCACCAGGGGCATCTCATGGGGCCCCCTTCTGACCCCAGCCCCTCGGGCAGTGCCCGAGTTCCCAAATGGTCAGTCCGCCCCTGGTCAGCAGACAGCAGCAGGTTGGGGCAAATACAAGTCTCAGTACTCCCTGATTCTCCTCTCAGAGACCTGTAGCAGCAGAATAGCAGATAACTTAGGCAGAGCTGACCACACTGCAACTGTCCTCCTTTTCACTCTCTCCACATGTCTGTCCTTCTTACGCATGATTTCCTTCTCACTAATCTCCCCTGCCCTCCAGGCACTCTGGGATCTGTAGTCTTGGTCCCCTTCTCCACAGGTCCCTGTCTCTATGAAGGTTCTACATCTCCCATAAGTCTTTGCAATCCACTTCTCCTCTGGATTTGGTAGGTGGTCAATCACAATCTTTCCCAGTAAATTTCTCATTCCTTTCAAAATGGCCATCCCCTATGTTGAGGACAACTTTAGCATTGTCCATGGTTGCCTCCAATATGGGCGCTACCACCCTTCAGTCGCTCCTGCACTCCTCAACAAAATAGTCACCGCAGCTCCTGCACTTGGGACACTTTTTTCTGTGTAGCCAGTCCTCCCATCACAAAAAGGGAGTAACCAGATGCATTGGAGAAACATCCTGTAGTGTAACATAAAAGATCCACAGTCCAGTCTGCAAAATATGACCACTGTGGTCTAAAAAAAAATGTAGCGCTGCTGTTATAGTCATGCTCACATTTTAAATATTAAGTTTGTTTTCAAATCAGCACCGTTAAAGACTGGAATTGTTTTGTTTTATGGCTCAAAAACTATTACAACATTTGGGGGAGTCACTGAAAAGTAGACGTTTTGGGATGTTCAGTGTAGAGATTTATATAGTTTGGATAGAGGAGGAAACAGTTAAAAACAATGTGATTTTTTTTTTTTATGTTTGTGTACAGGGGATTTCCCCTTTATGTATTTATAGCTGATACTTGCTTTATTTAGTGATTTATTGACTGATTGATTAATTATAGCGTAGGGAAGGTTTAAAATTTGCCAAGAGAAATAGAGAGGGTGAATCTCCTTGATGGGGCTGCAGTCAACAATACAAACATTAATCCTCACCTTCTCTACCCAAAACAGAAAAAAGTTTTTTTTTTTACTTTAGGGACTCTAACTGTGACAAGTCACAGTGTGCAATGTTAGAACTACCTAATGCTGAACTTCTTGAAAAAATACCAAAAGTTCCTGGAGATGGGCAGACTTATTCAATGTTTTTCAGATTTTGCACAGCTTCTCAGGTCCTATGTTGATTCTGTCACTAAATGTGATATCGCCCACCTGGAGCGTTCCATGTCAAAAATGACCCTGGAAGAGAATCTAAGCTCAGTATGCAGATCTACAAAGTCATATGAAAACAAAATGAAAGCTCAACAATTCAACATTGAAGAGGAGTTCCAAAGGCTGCATGAGAGTTCACTGGAAGAAGCTCTACGTGAGTTTGAAGAGAGCTACGTCACGCAAGAGAAGAGTCAAAAGGAATACCTTCAACAGCTAGAGGTAGTTCATGTGAAGGTTGTAATGTTTCCAAAAATGTGATACATTTATTCATTTTGTGTTGGCAATTGTTTTGGCAGAAGGACCTAAAGGAAAAGAAAGTGGAGCTCTGGAAGATTTGTGAGGATTCCTCTCTGAAAAAGTGTGAAGATCTATTTAAGAAACTCAAGTGTGATGTAGACCAGGCCCACAAGGAAAAAAAAATACCATTTCTCTGGAGGATATGCTGAATTTGTAAAGGACAAGGACACTATAATAAGGGTGTATAATGAACAACCTGACAAAGGCATTAAGGTAAACCTAAATGGTCTTCCAATGTTCTTGCTCTGCTGATTCAGTATATTTTGGTATCCCCTTGTTACATTGGTTAAAGTGAATATTACTCAATACAATCTTCAAATGTATCCTGCCACACTGGTTCCAAGCAGCTGTATATCCTTGCTGGCACTGTATATATTTCCAATGATCAAATATACATGTAAGCATAAGAAAGAGAAAAAAGAGTTCGCTATACAGTGCAGATTAAACCACTATTGAGAAATTAAAATTGCATTTACAATGCGTATCATAAAAAACAGACTC